AACCCATGTACCATATAAGTATCTATCATCTCCAAACCCATGTGGCATAAAGTGACTAACTATCTCCAAACCTAAAAACCATATAATGATCTACTATCTACAAAACTAACTACGATATAATGACCTTCTCTCTAAAAACCAAACTGACATATCATGAGGGAATATCTTCCAACCTAACTACCATAGAATGACCAACTATCAACAAACCTAAGCATCATATAATGACCTTCTATCTTCACACCTAACTACTAAATAATGACCTACTATCCTCAAACATAAATGTCATATGGTGATCTAATATCTTCATAAATAACTCCTATATAATAACCTACTATCTCGAAACCTAACTATAATGACCTACTGTTTCCAAACCTAATTACCATATAATGATCTATAATCTAAACACCTAACTAACATATAATGACCTAATGTTTTCAAACCTTACTACCATAAAATGACATAATATCTCCAAACCAATTTACCATGTAAGGATCTACCATCTCCAAACCCATGTGCCATATAATGACTAACTGCCATAAAATAACCCACTATCTTCATACATAACTACCATATAATGAACTACTCTCTTCCAACCTAACTACCATATAATGAACTACTCTCTTCAAACCTAACTACCATATAATTACTTACTATCTCCAAACCAAACTATCATATAATGAGATACTATTTCTAACCTAATAACCGTATAATGACCGACTATATCGAATACTAACTACCATATAACGACCTACTATCTCCAAATCTAACTATCATATAATGACCTACTATCTTCAAACCTAATTATCATATAATGACCTACTATCTCCAAACCTAACTGCTATATAATGACCTACTATCTCCAAACCTAACTGCTATATAATGACCTACTATTACCAAGCTGAACTACCGTATAATGACCTAATATCTCCAAACCCAATTCTTATATAAGGATCTACTATCTCCAAAATCATGTGCTATATAATGACTAACTATCTCCAAATCTAACTACCATATAATGACCTAATATCTTCATATGTAACTACCATATAATGTCTTACTATCTCCAAACCTAACAACCCCGTATTGACCTACTATATTCAAAATAAACTACCATATAGTGACCTACTATCTACAAACCTAACTATCATATAATGATACTATTGTTAAGCCTCTGTCTAATGTGTATTTTAAAACAAGTTTCTCGTTTTTTCGCTTCAGTGTTTGAAATTGTGCTTATTGTAGCACAGAATAACATCTTATCGCTATGAACTTTAAGTGGATATACTTTACGTTTCCACCTATTATGGATGTCTTTTTTCCATTCTTTTCTAAAATTGTTTACATGCTGTAGTTTATTAAGGCAAACTAAGACTATATACCGTAATTCTTCCGCACTGTTGAGATACTTGTTTCCCCGAAATTGGACCGAAGGCCGCCTGGAGGGATCACCTGTTTTAACCATTCGCACCACTATACAGTAGTTTGTATGTCGTATCATTCAGTAGACACTAAAAAGACGTCACATAAGGGACTCTTAACGTTTCAATTTGTACTGTCGTGACTTCAGTACAACGTACGCATGCCATGAATCACGAGAAGAATTATGCACACTGTGAGCTACAACACAACATGAGATATGAACTTCAAAAGTAAGAAACAATAATATTTGTTACTATTAATTTTTGTTTTATTTACTCTCGAAACGGAACACATCAAATATATATATTTGTTATTTGGTTAAACATGAAAGTTTACCGTCACGAACAAGGTATTTAACAGTCATCAAAGCGAATTACTTGGTACGTGTTTTTTTCACAATCTTCAATTTAGAGGACTCGCCAAAGAATTTAATTTGTCTGACAGTCCCCCAGACAAAACTAATTTCTTCAAAGATCCTTCACTCCATTTTATACAAGGATCTTATAACACTAACGAAAACCTAAACTTTTAATTCTTTTTTTTCAAATTCTTCTCCTACCTTTTGTCTATCAGATTAGGGACGCAGTTGAACGCGTCCCGAGCTAGCAAACGCGTTGTTTTTTGTTTTTTAATGCGAAACTATTTTTTAATACATAAAAACAATTAACACTTACAAAGTTTTATCTCTGAAAGTGATTAACGATTTGTTTACTTTAAACCATTTCCACTTTACGTCATTCTTTTATATATATTTATAGAAAACATCTATCAATAAGGGAAAACACTTCAATTTGTTAACAAAAACTGTTTACAACAGCTTTCTATAGTTAAAAGTATGATTACGGTTGTTGTCACTCCCCATCACACCACTAACATATCTGATTATACTTGTTATTACTCAACATCACACCACTAACAGATCTGATTACATTTGTTGTCACACGACATCACATCACTAACAGATCTGATTACATTGTTGTCACTCACCATCACATCACTAACAGAACTGATTACACTTGTTATTACTCAACATCACACCACTAACAGATCTGATTACATTTGTTGTCACACGACATCACATCACTAACAGATCTGATTACATTATTGTCATTCACCATCACATCACTAACAGAACTGATTATACTTGTTATTACTCAACATCACACCACTAACAGATCTGATTACATTTGTTGTCACACGACATCACATCACTAACATATCTGATTATACTTGTTATTACTCACCATCACATCACTAACATATCTGATTATACTTGTTATTACTCACCATCACATCACTAACAGAACTGATTACATTGTTGTCACTCACCATCACATCACTAATAGAACTGATTACATTGTTGTCACTCACCATCACATCACTAACAGATCTGATTACATTTATTGTCACTCAACATCACATCACTATCATATCTTATTACATTTGTTGTCACTTGACATCACATCACTAACAGATATGATTACATTGTTGTCACTTGACATCACATCACTAACAGATATGATTACAGTTGTTGTCACACGACATCACATCACTAACAGATCTGATGACATTTTTTCTCATCTGACATCACATCACTAACATCTTATTACAGTTGTTGTCATTGTTGTCACTTGACATCACATCACTAACAGATATGATTACATTGTTGTCATTTGACATCACATCACTAACAGATATGATGACATTTTTTGTCATCTGACATCACATCACTAACATCTTATTACAGTTGTCATTGTTGTCACTTGACATCACATCATTAACTGATTTGATTACATTTTTTGTCACTTGACATCACATCATTTACAGATATGATTACGGTTGTTGTCAATGTTCAGCTACTCTCCTACCACCAACAGATCGTATTACGCTTGTGACATTATCATCACACGAAGAAGTCTGACTACATTAGTCATTAATAATGAGAAGGCTTCAACCAGTATAGTGTTAAATAATTTTATATCAGTAGGAGTCATTGTTTCATTAATATTACTACACACATTACAGTATAAAAATCATTATTTTACAGGAGTTATTGTTTCATTAATATTACTACACACATTACAGTATAAAAATCATTATTTTACATGTGTCAGAGTTTTATTAATGTTGCTACACTACAGTATGAAACCACTACTTTAAATTCCTTTCACTTTAGGTACTTATTTTACGATGTCATTTATATAGAGTGGCACCTTCTGTCTTCTCGTGGAGAGGTATTTGCAAGATTACACTCATGTAATACACATATCTTCTTTTTTTATTAATACTGTTTGTATATCTATAAGAGAAATAGAATGTTGATTTAAACATTACACCAGAAATCAGTCTAATTATCACAAAGCATATAAACATTACATCACAAGGAAGTTCAGACTGATTTGTGATGTAATGTTTATATATTCTGTGATAACGGAAAGATCAGACTGATTTATGATATAATGTTTACATATATTCTGTGATAACGGGAAGATCAGACTGATTTGTGATGTAATATTTATATATTCTGTGATAACAGGAAGATCAGACTGAATTGTGATGTAATGTTTATATATTCTGTGATAACGGGAAGATCAGACTGATTTGTGATGTAATGTTTATATATTCTGTGATAACGGGAAGATCAGACTGATTTGTGAAGAAATGTTTATATGTTCTGTGATAACGGGAAGATCAGACTGATAGGTTATCACAGAATATATAAACATTACATCACAAATCAGTCTGATCTTCCCGTTATCACCGAACATATAAACATCACATCACAAATCAGTCTGATCTTCCCGTTATCACAGAACATATAAACATTATATAACAAATCAGTCTGATCTTCCCGTTATCACAGAACATATAAACATTCCTTCACAAATCAGTCTGACCTTTCCGTTATCACAGAACATATAAACATTCCTTTAGAAGCTTTAATATATATTATCGTAAATAAAAGTTTTTAAAAGTGTTTTTGTCGACGTCGTTAAAAGCTTATCATGTCCACGTAAAAAAAGTTTGGAGATTTTCGTATTAAAGATAAGCATCGCATTTATAAAATAACTCTGTCTGTATACATTTAATTAAAGCAGATATTTAAAAAGTTTATTTCCTCAGTTACACTGGTTAAATTGTTAGGTTTTTTTACAAATGCACTATGAAAGAAATATTTTGTTGACTTTTGTCTGCTTATTTTATACACACACACAAACATATGTACACGGGTTATTTTTTAACATACAAAAATATTCATCACCTTAAAGTTTTGTAGTTTTAATGATTCGGTAGATTTGTTTACTTTGCTTTAGTTTTAAAACTACTTTTTGACTTATGGAAAACATACACCGTTTCGTCCACACAAGGTTGTAAGCGAAATCAATAAGAGAATGTTGGAAACGCCTGTTTAGCGTCTGTGTATATTTGTTTTATGTAAATGTGTGAAAAAAATAATAATGCTTATACGCCAGAAAATCGCAAATTCGCATATATTTCTTGATTATTGATCAATACATTGCGTTGCCGTGGTAACCAGGTTAGAAAATGTCCTTATGTTCTATTGATCGTGGCGACACGAGGTAAAGGAGAGGCGCCTAGTTGTCTGTATGTCCGCTTTAATACCGCATATTCTTTAGTTGTTTCTTCTTCTCGAGGCAAAAAGTATTCTCATCATTATCATATTACAACAACCCTCGAGGCATTTGTTCATTACGCTACGCTTAAGAACATGAGCACTTGCTAAATGAAGAACTAACAACAAGAACAGCGCAGGGAACCTTGTCCTAGCAGAAATATCGACAACTACGTCAGCAGTCGATGTGCAAGTTTACGAAATCAGGCCACTTTAGGCACTTGGTCTGTCTTAACACTTTTATTTAAGTAGCAAGTATCTATGTAACTTAATCTTCTAAGATCATCAGCTGTGGAGATGATTGGAGATCACCATGGACGATTTTGGAAAACGGTGACCGCACCAAAAATGGCAAGTCCACCTTGTGCCTCGGTCTTTACTAGTGTTGGTTCTGAAGTCAGCAGAGGAAATACGGTAAGTCGACTAGGTTTGTTTTTCGACTGTTTCAGTGTCGTCATCTCTAAAGCCCTCTGGGTGATGTAAACTTACATTTAGGGAAACTTCCATTATTTTATTAGTCATCATTGGATAAGTTGAGGCACAATACTAATATATTGAAAGCTATAATTCCACAGTATACCTAGTGAGAAAAAAATCAAACATTCAAATAACAGCGCATGCGCACGGTCCTCTTCAATATTGTATTGCGTAATAAAAAAAAGGCATTACAATAGATTATCACAAAATTAAATGGTTAGAAAATTTTATTTGCTCTAACGCCTGCTTAAAAATTGAAAATCGCTTAATGTAACATCACAATGTTAAAAGTCTAGGCCTAAACATGTAAAGTCTCGTACACAGCTTTTAAAATGAAGAGTGAAAAGAACATCACATAAGTCACGGTTCGAACACGTTGAAAAGGCCTAGCGTCTCTAATTAAAATGTTATTCCTGGTTTTCGTACCAAGTTGAATATACGCAAATGCCAGAATTTTTTATATTATATTTTTTTCTTAAACATAAAGCTACACAATGGGCTATCTATGCTCTGCCCACCGCAGGTATTGTAGCGCTGTTTTTAGCGTTATAAGTCCACAGACTTACAGCTGAGCCACCGAAGAGGGATATCAGAAAAAACTGAGAAAAACAAATTGAAACTAAAACCATCAGTGCAATCAGATCGTGTTTGCATTGACTATCGATGTTTCACACTTTAGTTTGCTATTCTTCGGTAAGTGCTCTTAGTATTTGTAATTGATTTTCTGTAATCTTGAACAAATTTAATTACTAATACTGTTTATATTCGTGTTGATTTTTCAGTTCAAACTGTTCATTTTTTATTCTGTTAAGTTGTTGACAAAATGTGTTAAGATTTTTTGCGTTTGTTTAATGAATCCAGGAGAACATAATAATATATTTCTCTCAGTCTGTTTTATCTTCCATGGTATTTTTAATACTCTCGATTTTTTTTTTTACTTTAAGTTTTTCCAAGTCTACTTTTACTCTAGTAAATACTGCCTAAAGCTAGTTCCTTTCTTTTATTCTATCTTAATAATCTTATCCGTAATAAAATTGATTATAGTCTACGGAGCACTGTCTGTAAACCTCTGATATATTGATACCAGTCAGAATATCTAAGTTTTAACCGTTATAAATATATATGTTCTAGCTGCTTTCTTCACCATTCGAAAACATTGTATTTTCAGTCTTAGCTAATTGCGTGAACATTAGAATTTTAAAATTTTAGCCTATTTATGTATAACTTGTGTATATTTTTCCAATGAAATATTTAGTTTAGATTGTGTGTGTTACTGATTAAACCGTTTAAAATTTGATATAAATTGTCAATATATCTAGTTTTAAATATTGAGTTTGAAGTTAACTACTGTTGATTCTTAAAGAGTGCGTTCAGATTATCGTGTTTCTTAATTAATCAGTTTTCAACATATTACTAATTATTTTGTAATTTTGTCTGTTTTAGATGAAATAATTTATCATCTTTATTAATTAATATACCGAATATTGCTTTATAATATTTTTATAGAAATTATTAACTTGAAATGGTGATTATTTAACCTTTGTCTATTCTCTGGTAAAAGGGCCTGATATTAGTTCCCTTCATTTTCTTGATGGAAAAAATTATTATTATTCTCATATTTGTTCGTAGATTTGCCAGTAGTAATGAATCATGTTTCTACAAACGTCGGCTATATAAGTTTCACCTTCAATCTATTGAGTCGTACGTTTTCATTGTAAGCAAATCATATATTCACGTTGATTTTTTTCTACGCTGGACATGACGTCCAGATGTGACTAAAATACGACAGAAAGATCTACAATTTAAAAATCTATAGGCAAAACATTATCAAAATGTTTAGGATATAAACACTCGGTAATTGATATCTTGTTTCAACTACAGAGCTTGGTAAACTATACCATAGAACTTTTGATTTTAAGTATTTCATTTAAGGATACCATTTTGCAATATTATTAACAAGGGATAAGATAGCCTTGGTAGTAACATAACATATAGGTCTAATAGCAATAGATTAGATAACATTGGTATTAATATAACATAATGGTTCAATAGCGATATATAATATAACGGTAGTAATAATAATATAACATAATGGTCTAATAGCCCTAGATTAGATAACGTTAGTAGTAATATAACATAATGGTCCAATAGCAATAGATAAGATAACATAAATATAACATAATAGTCTAAAGCACTAGATAAGATCACGCTCGTAGTAATATTACATAATGGTCTAATAGCAATAGTTTGGTATTTCTCTATATACTGTTGTAAGCGTCTCATTTCCAGTACAATACAGCCAGTAGCGAGAGTGTATGTGAAAAGGTGTTAGGGATATTTTACTTTAGAAATGGATAAATATATCTATATTTAAAACTATACTTAAGCGTTTAAGTAAAATAAGGGTGACACACTAAACGAAATATAACCAACAGTCAAGCTTTTAGAATAAATAAAATATGCTCAGATGAAATTGACTACAGAAAACACACCAAGGATATAAAACAAACCATGTTACAAAGAGGGTATAAAGATACCGAATTCAACAAATTGAAAAGGCTTAAAACACTTAGCAGAAAAACATCCTAAATCAGAGCAATACAAAACATTCAAATAGAATTCCTCTAATTGTCTTAAACATATACTTTTTTTTTTAAAGCAGAACTCTAAAGATATGTTTGTTCACACAAAAATGAATTACATCCCACCCAAAAATGGTTGTCGTACATACAATAAAGTCCATTGTCAATCACCGAAAAAGATCTTCCTGTTGCTCAACACTTTAACCAACCTGGTCATTCTATTAAGTTATTACTCTCATCGGCATTGAAACATGATTCAAAACTAAAGCAGATAGAAAAATAAAAGAAGCTTATTGGATTGCTAATCTACACACTGTTCAACCTATCGGAATTAATCTAGATCCTGGAATCAGTGATCTCAGTTCACTGGTTTCATCTCTACCAGATAATATAACATTGGTATTAACATAATATAATGGTCTCTAAGCAATAGATGATATAACGATAGTAGTAACATAACCTAATGGTCTAATAGCATTAAATAAGATAATATTGGTATTAATAATATAATGGTCTAATAACAATAGTTGAGATAACCTTGGTAATAATATAACATAATCATCTAATGATTGAAAATAATATGTAACATAATGGTCTAATAGGAATAGATAAGATAACGATTGTATTAATATAACATAATGGCCCAATACCAATGGATAAAATAACGTTCTTAGTAATATAACATAAAGGTCTAGTAGCACTATATGGCATAACATTGATATTCATATAAAATATTACTAAAATAAAAATAGATAAGATATCACTGGTTTTAATATAACATAATGGTCTAATAGCAATATATAAGAAAACGATGCTATTAATATAACCCAAGAATCTAATAGCAGTAAAAAAAGATAACATTTCTATTAATATAACATAATAGTATAAGAGCAATAAATAACATAACATTGATACAGGTTG